ACAACAACTACTACTACTACGACTACGACTACGACTACGACTACGACTACTACTACTACTACTACTACTACTACTACTACTACGAAAAAACTACGATGACGGCGACTACGACCGACTACGAAGACGGCTACTGCTCCTGCCATGGCAACTTCTAGCGCTAGCTCTACCGCCACGGCTACTATCTTCTCTTCTCTTCTAGCTCCTCTCCGTCATGGATGCTTCTTGCAGGACGACAGGTGCTGAGTGCGGCATTCGGCGCTTGTGATGTCCCTTCTCTGATGTTTCGATCTCCACCAGAACATTCGTCATTCTCAAGCTTCTCTTTTCAGGATTCTACGGCAGATCCAGGAATTCTGAAGTCGAGGGGCAAAGAGCTGGTCAGCTCTGGGATCGAGCTCCTCCAACGTCAGCTCCCCGCCACCGTCCAGGTCCAGTGCTTGGTACAGCTCCTTGGGTTCTTGGTAAGAGATTTAGTTTCCATCATAGCGAAACCATATGATTTAATATAAATCCCTCTTATGGTAACTTAAATTCAAATACAAAATCCTTAACAAGAACCCAGGCTCCCCAACATCGTAGGCAAACCTTAGCTCGAGACTTCGGTCAAGCTCAGCTCCATTTGGGTAGTTCTCTAAATTAGGGGCCCTTTTTGGGTCCCCAATATAGTACGGCAATGTACGGCACCCTTATAAAAAGGACCCCAAAAGGAACTCTAACTTAGAGAACTACCCATTTGCATTTCACTCGCAACTTGGGCCAAGTTGCCCTTGCTCCCGCATGTATCCTCAATTGGCACTGACGGGTGCATTGAGGATCGATCCGACGGAGGTTGTCTTGAGGTTAATGTCGGAACAACTCGATCCTGCTTTGGAGAACAGTTTCATTGTAGTTATGCGCTTTCCTTGGGCGTGTCAAACTTCTTTGGCTTGCCGAATGTGTGTCCGACATGTTCAAGATTTCACGACACTTCGCCACGTTTCTTAGGACTTCCGCGACTCTCCTTCACAAGTCGAGAACGGTTCCGGAAGCTCAAGAAACTTATGCAAGGCTTTGCGTTTCGACTGCACAATGGTGCAAATTGATCCAGCTTCTGTTGAACCTTCCGACCGGGATTTGAGAAGTGCCCGGCTGCTGCCCCAAAGGGGAGATTTTGGGACATCATCGAAGTCAACAGCCAGCAAAGGGCGGCGGCGAAGGCTTGGGTTCATGGCGCAGCTTAGAGGTGCAAGTCGGTTGAAGGTCAAGAGCCTCCACTTGCACTTTGGGGTGGTGGCCAAACTTTTGACACTTGTTGTGGAAAAGCTCGTGGTCTGGCTCTAGTTTCCGTAAGCGGGCGGCTTCATTCGATTTCACCTCAAGGTTGTCGATCTGCGCTGCACATGCCCCCCAGGTAACCCAACAATCTGCCACAAAGCTGGGTGGTGCTGATGCTTGGATGGTTCTTAAGCTGCTTCTGATGTTCTGGGTGCAAGTAGTTGTGGACATTGAAACATCTAAGAGCTCTGCAACAACTCGCCGGCAGATTGTTAAGTGTGCACCAAGTTCCACCATGCAAACAACAAACAGAGAGAGAGAGAGAGAGAGAGAGCGGAGCAAACTTCGTCAGCGCTTGACGTTCAATCCTGAATTCTGCTTGCATCTGTGCCGCGTACGAAGTACATCTCTGACACTCTGTGCTCGTGATCGGGGTCGAGCTTGTGTATCCATGCTCGAAGCGTGGAGCCTCCCAAAGCAACAGTGCCAGGTCATTCATACCCACACTGATGACAATGGACGCTGCATTCAATATCCATGGGTCCATGAAGCAAAGCCAATTTTCTTGCAGTTCGGGGCGAAGCGTTTTATCAGGCCTCAGTGGTTCACATGCTGCGTATGCACTTCCTTCCCAGCCTTCCTGCTTGATAAGGAACTCTTGTAGAACCTCGGCCCGCTTCCACAGTTTTAATGTCAACATGTCGAGGAAGCCCCAGCTGACCGTGTTTAACTGCCACCTCATCCTGCTGAGATTGTGCTCCTTCGGGCGGATTCTGCTATGCTCTTAAGAGAACGGCTGTCCCAATTCAGAACCCTTGTCGAAAGTAGTTCGTTCCTCTCACAACACTCAGGCACTGACCCTCTGGGCGGTGGCCTGGTTCATGGCGGTTGGCCCCCCTGATGGCAGGATCCAACACGGCCAAGATGCGAGGAACTGTTAGACGAGCAAGATAACAGTCATCGCAGGGCGGTAGACTCTGAGGGGGCGAGCAAGATGACGCGTACTCTTGGTAATCTTGGCGGTCAGCAAATGGTGCAACTGGTCCAAAATCTCGCCAAGCAAGATTACGTGCGCTTGCGGGGCACGCCGCCAAACCCTACCCTGAACGCTAATCCGTAAATCCAAACCCCTAAACGTTGTAAACCCTGAACCGATGCGTGCGCCGGGCGCGCGTGTAACCCTTTGCATCCAGGACTCTTGCAAGCAGCCGGGAAACTCACAAGACAGCGCGTGTAACCCTAAACCCTTAAACCCTAAGCCTTTTGTTGCTACTGGACTCAAGTCTAGCCCGACTACGACCTCGAATCATCAGCACCGATACCAAAGCCGCTCTGTTGAGAAGTCAAGCCGTGTGCTCATGACACCGCAAGACGAAGCCCTTTTTACCCTTATCCCTAAACCAATGAGAGCTGCAGGCTTTCGCCAAAACCCTACCCTTTTTGCCGGGTTCTCAGAGCTGGACCCAAACCCACACTGTGGGCGTGCCCTGAAACCGTAGCCTAAACGAGGGATGTTGGGGGTTCTGCAGGGTGGTAATCTTGGTCAGCAAAGGGTCCAAGATTCCTAAGATGACGCCCTCCCCCCTAAAGCAACCTCACCAAGCAAGATTACCAAGATGACGAAGTGAATTAGCGGTTCTCGATTTCCGGCACAATGAACTTTTACCACACTATTTCCGTCGTCGATGAGAGCACATCTTGTAGTAAGATTCAGCATTTCATGACTCAGGATGCGCGCCTGGCCCAGCAGTCAATTCCAGCCCGTCATCGCTCAGCGAGGCGGCAAGAATCCACCGATGTAAAACACCAAAACCCCAAACCTCAAATCTCACGGTCTTCGGTTGCCCTTCTACGGTCCCGTAGATGCTCTGTTTATCTCGTTGCAGTGACGACGAATGTGGGGTGGGGCATGTGACGCTGACCGTAGGCTTGGGCCCTCTGAGCTAATAAATCCACCCCGAAGCCTTAAAGCGGCGGCGGCCGAGCGGGCAAACGCATAACGGTGCAGGAATAGCTGACCTCATCCTCATTTCATGATTTGGCAAGAAGCTCCAGCGAACTCGCGTTCCGGTTTGGAAGGCAGGGCAGTGAGGCATTCGGTCCGAGACTCTCCAAGTGCCCGGCAATGATCGCAAGAATCATGAACACCATCCACTACCGCCCTCTTCACGCTTGAGCTCAACGGCGTCAGATCCAAGACCACTGTGCTTGACGTTTCGATGCTGGCCCGCCGCCTCAAAACACATGAACTCACTATCACTCTTGCCATATCCTGTAGTCCTACAGTCTCGCGTCAGCTGGCTCCAGTAGCAGGACTCTTTCCATAGGCGGCGACGGACACGGCAGTCAACTCAGTTCCAGCTTCTTTGAGATTCGACTGTCGGGACCCTACAACCTGCCGGCAGCCAATTGGGCTCACCAAACTTGGTCTGGAAGGCCTCACTTGTGATCCTGAAGGGCGCAGTGCGGACCAAAGGCAAAGCAAGTCACATACCCCCGCAGACTTCGTCAAATCTCAAACTCTGTCTCCCGGTGTCTGAACCCAACACGACAACGAACGAGGGTGCAGGTTGGGGGGGGCATGTGCGAGCGCCTGCGACTGGGACCCAGGTAGTCTCACTGCGAAGAAAGTGTTGGGGAGCTTAGCCTTTCGGCAGCCTGTCCTTTTTCATATACCCATCAACCCACCCACCACCGATTCATTCAACGTGTCTAGTGCCAACCTCCCAGCGCCAGTGTGTCTTTACACGAAGCTGGGGAGCTCTGCTAGCATTCGCCGGCTGTCGAGGAGACTGCTTTCGCGTTCTTGGCGCGAGGCCCTCTGCGCCATCGTGCGGGAGAGGATGTCAGCAAACTTTCGCCTTGGTTCAAACAGTAATGTCTTGGGCCTTCCGATCAGGTAGGATCCATCTCGGACGAAGTGTCTGGATCCATGGAATTCCGTGGAGGCTTGTTGCTAGGCTGCCGGTGCTTCGGCTGGCCTGCGAAACGACTCTACGCAATGCAGAAGCACTTGAGAAGCTGAGTGGCGAGGGGATCTCAATCAAGAAGTGCCCCACCACTGACCTCGCAACAGAGATTGCCTACAAGTTGAAGCGCTTGTCTTCAACATGAGGCCCGCGGCCGATCTAAGAGCTCATGTGGCCTAGGAGGCCGGATCCGAGAGCCAGGCGCAGCTAGCAGGCTGCCAAGAAACGTCCAGCTAAGGCCAGAGAAGCCGGACCTGAACGGAGTAGCTGGGCGGGTTGCTGCCTTGCCCACATCTCGTATCGGATCCTGCTGTCATGTATTCCTGAGAACCTCTCACTGACTCGACGACGATGTGGACAGGCCTGGGCACAGGCGGTGAGTTGTTGAATGACTCCCAGCTCTGGTTCCAGGCATGCTTGACATCAAAGACCTCAACCTCCTTACAGAAAGCTATGCCACTGGCAGCGCCAGCAAGAACATGGAGAGGGAGAGCTTGCCGACCTAGGGCTGAGGAAGGCAAGGCTGTGGGTCTCGGGAATGTACAAGGCTTTTGACCGTTCAAAGGTCTTCCTTAGGCAGTTTGTTGAGCGATGCTTCCGCAAGCTTGTAAGACGGCGTGTAATGTCGTTTGGCGTGTCTGATAATATGTCCCACCGTGGACAAGTCTGCCATGTAGCTACGCAGTTTTCTTCGTGAGTGTTTGCAGGCAGTTTGCAAGCAGAAGCTTACCTGTGCGTGGGCACGCTCGTTTCGCCGTGCCCGTCATGCCACACCCTCGTACTTGATGGGAATGCAGCGGGAATTGCCAGACATTGCAATATGTATATATATATATATATACACACGTATGTATGTATGAGCATGCATGAAGTTGTATGCATGGCTAGTTGGAGCTCCAGTACCCGTCACGGGGTGCTCCATGAGCTACAGGGCAGAGCATGCCACCAGAGTGATTGATCAAGGAGTCCACCCCAGCATCTTAAGCTATGACCAAGAAGGAGTGCGATGCGTTGGATCGCCATGTTGCCTTGATGCTGCAGGGCGATGTGGAGGATGGTCCTTCAACAAACTGAACTTGGAGGGCTTGAAGCAGATCACTTTCATTCTCTCGTGCGGCATGAGCATTCAACCAGACAGTGAGGGGATGAGCATCACACATCGCTCAACATTCTTCACTCGCAGGCACGACATGTGCCATGTCGGTCTGGGCGAGGAGACGACAAATCAATACCTCTTTCAAACTACAGCATCCAGACGAAGTCGATTCTCCTTTTGCTCTTCCTTGACAATGGCATGCAGCCCTTGGTGAAGACGCTGGCTTGCATTCCGGGTGAATGCAGCGTCAAGGCACCGGCTGTGGCGGCAGCGATGGGTGTTTTCATCCGTTTGGCAGTTTGTTTTCGACTGCGTGTACGCTGTCACTGCACATCCACGAATGCACAGATATTTTGAAGTGTAGGGCGTGTTTTCTTTGTTCTTAGCTGGCTTACCTGCCGGTCCTGGAGAAATCCTCAAAGCTTGACCGCTGGGGAGTTTGATAGTACGCTAGTAAGCACGTCTGCATGCCTTGACCTCGTTAGGATACTGCTCCGCGCCTCGGGGGTTACGGATTTTGGCCTAGCTTGGCAGGGTCAACCCCCAGCTCTCCCCATTGCGTTCTCTGATTTCTGCGCATCGGTGCTAACGCATACAGAGAGACCTTTGGGTACTCCAGCTTAATTCCGATACAAGCAGCCATGGGCTGCGTCAACCCGACCCTACACGCCCCAAAAGCCAGGGAAACAAGACGAGTATGTATGTATGTATGTATGTATGCTTAATCTAAACTGTGAGCACAGCTGCACCCTACGGGGATCTAAGTCTTCTCACAAACCCAGAACAGATATCCACTTACGCTAATCGCGACCCTCCAGCCGACACAGAACGGGAGATTCTGTTGCAAGGACATCCCGTCAACACCTATTGGAAGTCTCAGGTCTCTCAGGCATGCCGAAGACAAACACAAACACAACATCGGGAGTCGCAGCCTTGGGATGATGTAATGATGATGATGTTGTGATGTGGGAGTTGCCAGACTTCTGATTCGCATCTTGAGGAATGCACTGAGAGCGCGGCCCAGTAGAGCGACCCTCTTGCTGCAAGTCTGGCCAGGGGGTCTGCCTGGACGGCACCGACGGCTCTGTGTTTAGGCGAAAAGCGGCTTCTTTGCTCCTGTTGAACACACAAGTTGCTCTGCTCGCAGCTGCCAGGCAAAGCAAGGCCTCGTTACATAGGCCCAGGATAAGCAGACCTGAAGAAGCATGCGAAAGCAGCAGTCGGCTGCCTTTGCCAGGTTTTGCACGTCCAAGCCCGGAGCCCGTAAATGGCGACAGCAAGCCCTTCGTGAAGATGGGGTAGCAAGGCTCGCCTCAGTCGGTAGGCCAGGAACTCGATCACCTCTCTCTCATACACACAACGAACCCGGGACAGCATCGCCAAAGCGAATATCTACATGTCGCTGTCGGGGTTCAAGCTTCAATGAAACGGGCTGCCGATGGTTGAACTCATGACGGTGAGTATGCACATTGACGCAGGCAAGGATGCGAGGATTCTGTCGCAATAAGTCCGCCACGGAAAAGTGGCACCTCATCGAAAGGCGATATAAAGATCATGACCTTGGCCACGGCATTCACTGCGTCGATAGTAAAAGCTACGGCCTCCAATCCAAATGCTCAACGCCCTTTTGTAAAACTCAGTATGATTCGGCAGGCCACATACGTACGATGTGAACAATGGAACTTGGACGCCGCGGCTATGTTTACCGACCAGCATGGCCCGGAGACAACAGTCTCGAAACTGCGGATGTGGGCAGGTCACTCTGCAAGCTCTCGAGCAGTTCTTGAGGATAGTTGCAGCCGTTTTTGAAGAATTTTGCGGTCCTGTGTGGGAGGTGCCCATTGCTGGCTGAGTCGTTGACAGTGTGGCCCTTGCCTTTGAACTTCGTACAGGCAGCCACTGTTTGCGATGATCTAGGAGCGCTCTTGTCTGATGGAGTGCCACGGGCCCTTGGCAGGCCCTGATTATTGCTGTTCTGACAGTACACGTTGCAATTGCAGCTTGTCTTCGACTGGAAATGCGTGGCCCCAGGGTGGAGCTCCATTGTGGGCTGGCAACGCCTGAAGTGCACTCCAAGAAGTTCACGATGTGCAGGCTCTCTTACGCTTTCGCAATCTCTCGTGGCAGCGGTTGGTGTTTCTCGAGAAATGGCTTGCCTGGTATGTTCGCTTAGTTCCCTTTTGGTGCATGGCATTGGCCATGTTGCTGGTGTGTCGCACACATGCCGTGAACATGCTGTTTAGATGATTGCTCACTAATGGTGGGTGGGCACTTTATTAGCTTACCTCGCCCCACTTCGTAGTTGCAAGTTCATTGCAAAGGAGCAATGCAAGAGTCAGGTCGTCAGAAGAACTGTCGCTGCCCACCGCGGGAGCGAACGGTTGATAACTTGGTCAATCAGATGTGGATGCATGTTGCACTGAGCTTCCCACGAAACCCAGGGCCAGCACGCTCCCTGTGACGCCGAAGCGGACTGAGAAGGGCATCTCTGCCACTGGCCTGTCTCGAGAATATGCACCAGCCGTCACCGCTGTGAAATCTCCTTGCAACCTACAAGCGCACTCTCTGCTTGCGAGTGATTTTCGAGACCGCGTATGCGACGGTACGATGCCACTGGGATAAACCAACAATATGTCAAATGGGTACTGGTTGCCTCAACTTCGGTGAGGGCTTGGAGAGGCCAGCATAAAGATTCACATAATTGCAAACTATGCGCAGCAGGCTCCTGCATGAGACTTATGCGACTTTCGACTCACGGCATCTCCAATCACGATGGATAGGTGAAGCAATTGGCTACATGTGCGACCCCAAGGGATGTGTCTAGCCACCACCGTCAAGAAGCTGCTGCAAACTTGTTAGCCTCAGGCTGGACACCTGCTCCCTTGTGCACTGTGCCAAACCGCATAATTCCTGTGCATGCCCCTTGAGGGCTTCTGCACAATGGGCCACGTTAACCTCGCATGTCAGGCCACCGGCTGACCAGCCGAAACTGCTCCACTTCTCCACTCCACACAGAACGTGCAGAAAAGGGAGAAAGGCCAGGCCAGAGTCAAGATGCAGCCTCCATGGCGTCAGCTCCCAACACCTGAGAGCTCGAGCCTCCCCTGTCATAAGGTCTCTCTTTCTTGCCTTAGTGACAGAAGTCACGCGACGTCTGACGGAGCCATTTATCGCAAACACGCCTCCTAGTAGTCCGATGGAGGCAATGATGACACGTCTCATGAATATCTGAGTTTTCGCTGTTGGCTCGCTACAGTCAAGCTAAGCCACCTGGGGTCTTGTCCAACATCGCCATGCCGGCAAAGTTTGCTGCCAGAAGCCGCTCCATCAAGTTCAAGAACTCGACAAAGTTCACTGAATCCTGGTTTGGGGGCTTTAGTTTAGGTGGTTGTCGGCACGCAAGCTCGGACACATCTAATTATTCCGATTTGCGAGAGAGTCGTTCTGGCTCTTGCTTGCGAGGGGTATGGAACCAGTACGGAGCCCCAAGGTCCCTGCGCACGACCCTACCGCAGCGCCGTCAGAAGGGGTAGTAGAAAGGGCCCAAAGCAAAGGAGGCTCGCGAGTAGTCACCCCCATGTCGTGTCTTCGCAAAAACGACCCACGGAACCCCCGTTACTCCAATTGTCGGTGCAGGGGACTTCGCCCCAATTTCACGGACTATCACGCTGAACAAGTGTGTTCGGGACATACCAAGACTGGCCGGCGGGTGGAAAAATTGCAAGCACCTATAACTTCAGAGCGGCATGTCGACCAGTGTACCAACCGTACATGGGTTTTTGTATCTCCATCTCCGCTGCAACTACTTGCGCCCTTGTGAGGCATCTGCTGCGCACAGGTAGCCCTCCAAGCAAAACCTCCTACATCCTCTTCCGTTGCATTTGCTTCTTGCACCGTCTCTTGTCACGTTTTACTCGCTCAGGTTCCTGACGAGTGGCCCAAGGGTTCTCCCAACGGTGTGACTCTCTGATTCTTCAGCCTTCGCGCATCCTCATGCAATCTTCGATGCTCGGCCCTTAGCAGGCACGGCTAAGGCCCCGAGGAATGCCAAGAATCGTCGCCCCCAGGGCCGTGCTTGTGCACTTGCCGGACTTCACGCTTGAGCACCTCTCAGCCGTCTGGCTGATTAAACATGCGGTTGGGTGCAGCTGTACTCATGAACAGGAAACTCCATCATTACATGGCCACTAACCCTTTCGTCTATGCAAGCCACAAGCTGCGGAGGCTGAAGGCAGGTTCTTTTGCTTCCGAACCTGCCTGCGCATTCTTGTACCCCAGAGGGACGACCCTGGCCAGCAACCTGCGGAGCTCGAGTCTGACAGCGATGAGATGTTGCGACCCCGCGTCTGTGCCACGTCCATGCTGCTTTCGCGCCTACGAATCCAACAAACACCCAAAACAGACTCGAAGTGCAGCGAGGCACTCGCCAAGCTCCTCGAAGGAGAGACCTCGGTTTCCAGCCTCCCTCCCCCTCAACCGTGGTGCACTCCACACCTCTTGAAACTGCGGGCACGGGTAAGTTTATGCCATCTTGGCCTAGGTGGGGCTGGTCGTACTGACAAAGCTCCTGTTGCCCAGGTTTCATCGTTGCGACCAGGTTGCGGTTTCGGTACGAGCCCGGAAGCCCCGAGGAGGTTGCCTGAGACATGAAGAGGCCGCGAAACTCGTGGACTTCCGCAGGGGTGAAGTCCCGCTCCCTGGCCGCAAATTGCAATGCCACTGCAAATATCTTCAAAAGGTAGCAGGCCTTGCCCGTGAAGTTTGAATCGTGGACAGTCAAAAACTTGCTTCGACCCTGTTGGAGCCAAGCTAAGTGCAGCCTCGTCGCTCGATGGCTTGTCTTTCTCGTTTGAGCTTGTCTAGCTCGACAATGTCAACGCACACGCGACAAAGTGCAAGAAACTCATCCATCCCCACTCGGCTTCCAGGCTCTTTGCCTGCAAGGATCTCACCTCAGGCTGAAAAGACTTTGCATTGCGGTGGGCATCTTGTGTCCGTGTGTGTCATGACGCCATGCTGAAATGCTGCCGCGCTCTCTGCAACCCAAGTTGCTGAGCTTGGCCCGATTGTCCTTCATGGTCATCTTGTCTGCGAGCATGGGAAACTTCTGTCTCAAGAGATGCCTGGAAGCTGCATGAGCACATTGAGTCAAGCATATCCCATGTATGCAGCAACAAAATCTGCTTGGCGACATGTAGAATTTAGCCATCTTGCAAGCTACCTAAATCGGTAAGCAACATCGCCTCAGATCAATCGTGCGAACACAGCCGTTTGCATCGCGACCACAAGAGTCGAAGTCAACCTCCAAAGCTTCCACCTCTTCCTGGCAAGATCAGGAATTAAGCTCAGGCTTCTGCCCGTCTTGGGGCCCGCTGTCTTACGACGACATACGACGACTCAGTAGTGCAGCACTTTCCCAACTTGCGCTCAGAATTGGAGGCAGGGGTCCTTGCCGAAGCCGTGATTCCGGCACACCTCTTCGCGCTGTTGGTTTCGACACTGTGTAGCCCACGGGATGAACTCCATGAAGGTGACCTTCCTGCGACGCGGCTCCTCATTGTCGTCCGAGCTGCCCAGCATCTCGGTTTTGAACCTAGTCTTGCGAGGTGTCTCAACAGCTGACCATGTCAGCACAGCGGAGCCTATCAATGCCGCCAGTGGAGCCGATGCTTCAGCTCCGCCGCGGCCGGGCTTGTGCTGGCTGACTCTTGGTCACTAACCACCTTCCACATCTGTCGCAGTTCCCTGTCACGCAAATGTCCGAGGACCATCACGAACTCCTTCTCCTTGGCATCAGGCCAAAGCAGGAAATGAGGGCTTGGGTCTTGTGCGAGAAAGTGAACAGCATTTCTATCCTTCTTGCTGCTGTACTAGGCGCATTCATGACGCTGGTCTCGCTTGACTCAACCAGGTACATGAGTCTGCGGACCTCGTGGTAGTGGAGATCGAACCCCATCGTCCTCACCATTTTGAGCAAGCAATCCACGCTGATCGTGTCATCTGACGTGAACCTGCAACAGCGCATCATGTGAGATGTTGTCTTGCTGCTGGGCTCCGGTGTGATCTGTACAGCCCATCACATGGTAGCTCAAGTCTGACAGTGACTCATCGTAAATCTCCGGTCTTCAGGCGGGACAGCTGTCATTCTTCATTGTGCACATCGTCGTGCAAAAGCTTCTTAGTCGGCGTAGAACATGGCTCGTGACTCGCACTACTTCCAGCAAACTTTCTTTTAACCACTTCCCAAGCCAAAGCACCGCAGACCCTGCCTTTTGAAGAGGTCCAATGCTTCGGAGATTGTGCCAAGGGTGAGGCCTAAGGCAAGGCACAAAAGGGCGTTCGTTGCACGTAGCCATAGCCAACCCACTGCTCACCACCATGCACCCACACACTACTCACGAGGCTAAAGAGGTGTCTGGAGTCTGTTTTGCTCACAATTTATTCATTCTACGAGCCGCGATGAAGGCTGCGAAAAATGATGCCCCAATGATGACGAAACTCCGCTCAAAGCTTCCGGGGTCGTGATATCTCGTGCTCGCAGGCAAGGAACCGTGCTGTCGGCGATAGATCTCAAGGAAGCGCCACACTTGTGAGAAATCCAAGTCCTCATGCACATGCTACGATTGCTGGCATCAGCCCGTGCCAAGTGGGGGCACCGCCTCTTCAGGGTCGTCCACTCCCAACTGCAGCATCGTCTCAACAATGCCTCAACGTAGGACACAGGGGCTCTGCTTTAAAGCTCTTGCCGAGGTTATAATCCTTAACATTTCCGGTCCAACCAAGTGAAACCCTGAGCAGCGCCGCCAGGGTCGGATAGTTCTACATTGAATCAAACAACGAAGGGGGAATTGAGAGGACAGTGGCGCGACCTGAACTTCAAGGCGCCTAAGTGCTAAACAGTTCAAGAAAGGCTCTGCCCCAAGACAACCCTGGCCCTGCGTTACCATTTCGTTGGCTGTTCGCATAAGGAGGCACGACAAATCAAACTTCAACCACCCTACCCTACCCCTTTCCCCCCCGCTTGTAAACGAGATGCATGCCATGTCGGGCAGGTATCCGAGGGATTGAAGCAGCAACGCAATTTCTCGCGCATCCAGACCAGGCTCACCGTCTGTGTCGCACTCCCTGACATGCCAGGATAACAAAGCAAGGCAAGTGCTTGTTCACGGTAGCCAAAAGCTCGACGGGAGAAGACTGAGAATCTCGGCAAGGAAGAAGGGCAAACATCTGTGCCCAAGCCGGATCAAAAACATAAGTCCCCATCCTGTAGCTGTAATTAGCCATTTCGGCAGGAGAGAGGCCTGAAATAATCCTTTATCAACTTTGTGTTCCGCTCTTGGATCTTTCGCATGAACACCTCGACTGAACGAATGAGACAGGACATGTCACAAGAGAGATGCGCGCAGGAAAGTCTGGTACCATGCAGCACCAGAATCTCAAGCCATTTTGTCCAAGTGACGGTGAAGTCCCGCTTGCTCAGTTGATTCGTCTTCTCTGCATCCACCTGAGCCGCCGACAGGACGCAAAAGGCGAACTTGGGAAAGGGGTCATTTGACATACAAGCGGATTACGACGAGTGTGCTGCACGAATCCGAAGCTAACCTTATAAGGACATGTCCCTCAGCAGTCACCAGATTGGCCTCTGCCAGCAGGTCCTGGTACTTCATGTCGCGGGAGTAACCCAGGATAGCGAGGACGCGGCTGATTTCCAGGAGGTCCAGCGATCCTTTTGAGACCCTTCGCAGTGCGACTTCTAAGAATGCCCTTGATACATTCTGGAATGCGAGGATTGCATGGCCTACATCCGTTGGTACTTCATGATTGCATCACTTACAGAATCCGGACTCTTGGCGGGTGTCCGCTGCCATCGGCGTCGCACTTGTCGAAAGCATCTTCGATCCGTTCAATCTCCTGTCAGCCGGAAGACGACAAAACTAGAAGCATCGATCGGCTGGCTCATCTGCAACTTGCAACATGAAGATTTCCGGTGGTTAGCTGAAACGTGATCTGGGTAAGTCCAGTCAGATTGCGGATCTCTCCAGTCTGTGTACCGCATCCTACCAGTCCTACCACAATGTGACTCATCATGATGGCGATGATAACCATGGGTGATTCGCCGACTGCCTCGCGTGTGAAGCCTTCTCGCTCGCGAAGAATCTCGAGCACCTCCCGCAACCGCAACGAGCAGGGCCGGCACGCATCAATCTATACGTCTCCGGACTAATTAAGGGCCCGACCCGCTGAAATTCGGAGAAGTCCAGGCCATCAACCAAATTGCCACCGCAGGCATCCTTGCAAGATAAAAGTGCTGCCACCACAAGGATGCCATGCGAGAAAAAGAGCTGATCGCTTCTTATGCTGGGGCTGATGGTCCGGGCCAATCTGCTTGTCTTGGTAGTCTGCAGCAAGAGGGGCTTGCGGGTTCATGCTCAAGTTGATTCGGGCCAAGTCTGAAAGCCATCCGCCCTCAAAAGAAGCTCATGAACTGAAGACATGCCTAGGCTGCGACTACAACTTCGGTGCGGTGCACCTCTCGCATCGCAATGCAAGCCTCGTCCATTCTGCCCCCTCTGAAGCCATCCTAGTGCAGCATGTTTGTGTGTGTGTGTGTCTGTGTTGGCTGTTATCTCCTCCTCTTCTGCTGGGCCTTCATTCGCACTATCGCTTCTGTCCAAGTCCGCAGCATTCTTGCGGCTTTGTTAACCACTGGGGCCGCAGCCATGGCCAGCTCGTAGATGACATGCTGCAAAGGGAAGATACCCTGCATGGACAAAGGAAGTCAAAGATGGCCCGCAAGTGCTGTTTGTGCTGGTGTGCAAAGCTCTTCCCGCTAAGGCCAAAGTGAAAGAAAGTCCGAGAGCTGCTCTTGCCTGCGACTCCAGCAATGCGCCGAGCTCTTCGAAGTCAATCGTTCCGCTCGCATCTGCATCAAAGGTGTTGAAGGCTTCCTGAACAAAGACTTTCTCCGACAAGTGACCGAATTCATCGGGCTGGGCTGATAGTGTACGCACATGTGTGGGGCTGGATTCGCGGAGGTGTCCTGCTCGGCCTTGTCAATTCCACGATGGCTATGCCCGGCTACGCATACGACTGCATTCGCTTCTTCGTGCATGGAAGTCGAAAGACGGTCAACGAGCAGCTATTGACTCGGGGGTGACCTCATCACAAGAAGCAGTCTCCAATCGGAAAGCCTTCCCGAATGCACTACACGAAAGATGGAGACGCGTTCTAGATAGGCAGGGCTATGCAAGCTGAAAGCATCCTGGGTTCGAAAGCACGCTGCTTCTCCAGATGCCGGAACTTCTCGAAGAAGTGAAAGAACTCCCGCTGATTCAGGGTATTGTACCTGAAAGCCACGCATCGCTGACTGCATAGAAGAAGAACCAACAAAGATGCGCGTAGCCCTGGCCATCCCCGTGAAACCGACACACCTTTGCATCGGCCGCGTTGCTTGAAGAGGCTGTCATATGCCTCGTTTATCAGCGCTTTGACTTCCTTATGGCCAGCAGGCGTGGCATGTTCCATCATGCAGCAGGTTCCGAGGCCGGCTAACCACAGAAGTACGAGAGTACGTTCCAACATCTGGCGCGCCTGCTGGCAACACCTGTTCTGTAAGCAATCTCACCAGAAAATCCTTGCCACAATCGTCAGCAAGGTGCAGCTGTGACCGTCCATCCTGCAAACTCAACCGCTTTGTACATCGAATCCCGGTGCAGCTCGTTTGCTTCGCTCAGACCTGAGCTGGCCCTACCCACGCATGCGCAACACGGCGGTCTTTTCCATCTTTAGACATGGTGGGTAGCTGTTGTTGCAGCTGGCCATCACTTGGCATATGCTCAGCTACACATTGTTTCAAGGCAGCTCAGGACCGGGCGAGAGAAAGCTTCGCCAAGTCGCTTGCGCAAAGTGGGCTCGAAGCTTTGCTTGATGTTCTCAGCTTCGACGCGATTACACAGCTTGGGATGAAGACGGTGTGATTTCGAAGGTTCATGGTGCCTGCATGTGTACTTTAGTCGGCGAATCCCGAAAAGACATCTGCTGCCGGCGCATTTCGCAGCTCAGAAACGTGTTCATAATGAGTCATAGTGAGCAATTGATTGTATAATTTCTGATGGCTTCGGTGCGCTTCACCGCTGACCGCCACGCAGGTCTTAGTCAAGAGCGCTGGAGTTCACTGGATAAGTGTGCTGGCCCTATGTCGCCTGGCTGGCTCAGCTAGTTCTGCCGAAGCGAAAGGACACGGAAAAAATGTCGCATCACTGATAACGGACAAACTCTTGTGATATCAACATGCAGCACGAGGCTCCTTCAATCCAGTCGTCTGTCCTCGCAAGCTGATATGGGAAAGGCATCATTATTGGATAGCTCCCGTTGGGGAGCCCGACTGAGCAATTGTAAGGTTGCTGCTGCTGCTGCTGCTGCTGCTGCTGGAATGGGAAACCCAAATGCAAGAAGGATTGTGCTCACCATCCCAGTCCACAAGGCCTTTCTGCGTCATGGCGCTGGAGACTCTGTGCATCATATCCCCGGACAAGCTGATTTCACCTGTCACATGCTCGGGATGCTTGACACTTGGAAATCACAAAGCTAATTAAGCCGCCTCCTAAGCCTCGAAGTGGCAATGCTTGCATCCCCTTGTCACGTCATGCTGCTGCTACTACTTCTCCTGCTCCTGCTACTGCTGCGGCTGCTGATACTACCACCACCACGACTCCGACCAGCACCAGCGCCACCAACAGCACCATCCACCTCCGCTGCTACCACCACCACTACCACTACGACTACCACTACCACTACCACTACCACCACTACCACCACCACCACTACGACGACGACAACAACAACTACTACGACTACGACCACGACGACGACTACTACCACTACTACACTACTACACTACGACGACTACTACTACATCAAATACTACCACCACTGCTACCACCACCGCCGCTACCACTACTGCCACCAGCACCACCACCACCACCAGCACTACTACTACTACTACTACTACTACTACTACTACTACTACTGCCTACTACCACCACTACTGCTACTACTACGTACTGCTGCCGCTAATACGACGACTGCGACTACGACTGCGCAAACTTCGTTGCAACGGCGATGATGAACATGCCGAAGATGTTGATGGTCGCAACGATTGGTGCCAGCCTGCCTGCCATCGAAATCGTCGATCCTTGCCGGCTCCTCTCGCATGTCCACTGCTGCTGTGATTTCAGATTTGCAAGTGGTACCAGCGACTACGTCGAGTGCCACGACGATGACGGTGCCAACGACAACTGCTTTTGCGGTTTTGCTGTTGCTGCGGATGCGCATAGCATGGCCATGACCATGAACATCGCATGGGGGTGGTCATGACGGTAATGTGGAGCATGGCAATGACCATGATAAAGCCGTTCTACTTGTCCCGATTTCAAAAATCCCATGAAAGCTCAGTCGGCTCCACTCTCCGGGCCGCAGTCCGGGCAACAAGTCTCCCTGCGTGTTAACATGGGTGCACATTCTCTCGGTCATGATCGACTTTTGCAGGGAATCGCGGCCGCCGCCCATCGAGCTGGAAGCTGCTGCTCCCAGGGGTAAGCGACCCAGTGGAAGGCTGCCCAGGCCTGGCATCGAAGAGATATGGTTACCAAGCCGCGCGGAGAAGTACTCCTAGAAGCCACGCTGAATTTTCGTACGCTGACTTTTCGTTGGACATGCAATTCGATGTAGCTGGCCAACCAGCCTGCATCAGAGACGTCCTGCCCGGGTGCACGTAGAAGCGAGTGACTGCAGGCCTACCGAATCTACCACCAGCTACTCGCCTTAAAAATGAGCAAATGTTCTTCGAGCGTTCTCATCTCTTTTCGAAAGAGGTGTCCCATTCACGTAGAAGCACTGTCACTGGCAGCGGGTCTCCTCGGATGGCAACTGCTGCCAGCTCACACCTGAGCAGATCATAGTCGAAGGCGACTCGTGAACACAGTCAGTCACTTCTGATTCTGTCGCAAGCCGCGGTGGTCAAGCCGAATCCTCAGCCTGGCTCAGAGAAACTCAGGCCCTGACGAGCACTGCCACGAGAGTTCCGCCGCAAAGCTGACTTTATCTGCAAGGTAAGCAGAAGAGCGAGTTTGTGAGACCGTGACGTGGCTTTCGGCACAAAATGCTAAGTTCCTGTGGCCTGAGTGGCTGTGCTAGTTGGGCACGCAAGAGAGAGAGAGAGAGAGAGAGAGAGAGAGAGAGACGGAGAGACGCAAAGCAGAACAAGGAGACCAGAGTCAGAAAGAAGGAACTACGCAGTATATCAGTTCCTTTATGCATCTCTGCCAGGATTTCTCCTATGCACGCTGGCAATACTACGACCATCGTTTGTGCAACAGATCCGCGACCGGAAATCGTTCCTAGCGTTTCAGCTGCGGTGCCGTTCGTTTTTGGACCAGGGCTGCGCTATGGTCTGAATTCGGCCAGCACGCAGCTACGGACTGAGCAGCCTCGCGAGTGACATGCCTAAGCAGACTGCGCCCCCCCCCCCCCCGGGCCTTCTGCTTGTCTGCGACAGGTGACATCAGCTCTGAAGCAACTGGCGAAGCAGGTCCAAGGGCCATGGAAGCCATGGTGCCTGGCTGAACTGGATCAGCCTTATCTCAATGCACTGATTCTGATGTGGTAGATGCCTCACTCCACCTAGGGCGTGAGTTCCAAGACTGCTGGAAACCACACAAGCACTACCTCGGCCCATAGACAACACCCCACAACCTGCAGCAGCAGTGTCAGCCATAGCTGGGGGCTCCTCCCCAAAGAAAGCCTGCCAAAGCATCAAGAAACGAAGGTCGTTTCAGTTGTGCAGGCATGGGTGTCCTCGCCTCCACATCATCCTCTTGCACAGAAGCGGCTGTGGAGTCGATCTCCCGGATTACAGGTTGTGCTGCACGTTTCGTGGCGAGAGGTTCTTGGAACTTGGCAACTTGGCTGGCAAACCTCGCAGCGGCGAACACAGGCGAGGATTGGCACGGAATGAAGCCTTTCTAATCTAGCTGCTGCCCCAGTCTTCGGCCACACAGCAAAACAAGGCAAGTGGCACATCATCCACTGATCTGGGAGCTGCAGGAGGCTGATCCAAAGACTGGGCTTTGGCCGCAGACCTACGCACAAGGGCTTCAAAACCAGCACAGCTTTCGTCAGCTCCAAAGCGTCAGATGAATCAGCCTGTAGAATGATCTCAACAGAATTTATGGGTGGTTTATCCCACGCTCTGGCTGAGCACAGGCTGGCCAAGCCTCCTCAACATGGTACTGAGGTCAGCACCTCAGAGAGGAAAGGGCAGAGCTAAGCGCGAGCATGCACGATATCTTGCTGCAGCCCAGGAGACGCAAATCGCGCATTGCGAGATCGGCAACTTGAAATTTCTTGTCCTGCAGCATTTCGAGCCGGCTCTGCACTTTGAGGTTGCAAGTGTCTCGACAGACTCGTGGCATAACGAAGCCAGGTGCCAGGCCATCCTGTATTGCACCCTAAACACTCATTTTTTTGGCTGCATTGCGCCGAGGCAAAGCAACATGCCACGAGCCTGCTCCATGGATGGCACAACCTCGCAACAAGCTCACGCGTGTCCTCGCTGAAGTTCGGGTTGCGGATTTTCTCCTGCAAAAGCTACGGAAACGGACATCCTGCCTCCGAAATGTATACTACAAAGGATGACCCGCGAAGCGGACAGGGGTGTGTAGAAACGGTTCGCCTCAGGGAGGCAAGAATGTAGGCTCAGATTTTTTGTCTACTTGGTTTCGAGTTGTTTGACTATTGGGGAGCTTCGAAGTTGATGCGTTTGGCTCTGCTTTTTGTGAGTCTTTGGTTCCGTAGCTTTGTTTTACCTTTCGGCTTCCGGCGCGTGTGTGGCTTTTGCTCTGTCTATCTGGTTCAATCGCGTTTGTAACAAGATTTTTACTCTTCACCACCCACATTCAGAGTACGCATAGCCAACGCGTAGCCATCTCAATCCAGAGGACAAAGAAGAAGCAGCACCATCAAAGTAATCGTCGCAATGCCGAGTAGCCTGAAGGTCCCTCAGATCCAATACGGCGTCCATGTGCCGTGCACGTCGCTGGAAGCTTGCAGGGTGCAGGACCGTGGGCACCGGAATGTCTCGTCCTGAACACGGTGGCCAAAGGATCCATGATAGGACGCAAAGCCAAGCATGCACTGATCACAAAGTGAAGCCGTGAAACTTGGATTTCGGGTGGGAGGGGGCGAGCTACAAAGTTCCCACGACCTCAAACGCCAAAATCCACCATGCAGCAGTCTAAATGTGTCTCTGAGCCTGGCGAAGTTATGCATCACGCCCAACAGTGTGCCCCACAATGAGGTCGAAGATTCAAACCAGGGGAGCCACAACCTCTGCCAGTGGCCAAGTCGCGGAGGGGTCCCACAGACACTGCCGAGGCCGCTCGGGCCAAGCCGCTGCCGAGGCTCGAGTGGCTTGGGGGCCTTTGCGTTCTGGAAAGCATTTAGCAATGCTATGCGATGCTCATCCTGCATAGCTAACTATTGTCATCGTCTTCTCTTTCTTGTGTTTAACACCTCGTCGTGACAAGGATCACAGTCACGGCTTTTGTCGGCATCCCTGGGAACACTAGCAGAGTGAAAACACAAAACGAAAAGAACCCTGCACATTGAAAAGCCATAAACGGACCCGATCCATGCATCCTGGTAAGCACGTCCATTTGGGATCTTTAGGGTTTTGCAAGGAAACCTTCGCGACGAGCAACTAGTGAGGGTGCAATGTTCCGAAAGCGAGGGAGTCTCAAGTGATCAGCGCCCGATTTCCGCGCCATAAAGAAGCAACAGGTGGAAGCAATATGCCTGTGGCAACCGAGCGGCCGAGAACGCACGTCCATGTGCTGACCCAAACCGGATCTTGGCACGGGCTTTTGAAACGAAGGCTCCTGTCGCGACTGAGGTGCCGTTGAAGAAAGCGTAGGCTGCAAGTCCTGTTGGATCTCCGCGTGCTCCAGTGGCTGCATCTCCTGGGCCAGGGCCGAAACAGAGTTTTCCTAACTGCGAGCAAGCCTCTTGGTCTTTGAAACCGAGAGTTCCCCCGCAGAGAGAAGGGAAGCCAAGGCTCCTTCTCAGTTTGCAGCGGCTCCAGCTTCGCACTTGACATGTTCTTCGCTGCCCGCTTCGGAGGCGAGAAGCTCTTGGCCGACCTGAAACTTGATCTTCAGTCTTCGTCCTACTCTCCGCTTGTTTCTCTCTTGCATGCAATTCAGTCTTGATGTTTCGCCAGGAACAGTTCTTCAGGGAGGGAAGCATGAACTTTGCACTAAGCCTCTCTTGTTCCTTTCACCGGGCCCTGAAAACTGCCTGCCTGGCCATGGAGAGGAGGGCCGAGGCCGGCTTGCCTGCCGCCGGCGCGCGTGGTGCCGAAACCCTGCCGGGCCGATTGCGCAGTCGGGTTGTTGGCTGATGGATGCTGGAAGCATTCGCTGCAGCTCAACTTGCTAATGTCTGTTGCGACCGGTGCCTCGGAGGTCGTGGACCATTTCGGGAATCGTTGCCGACCTCGCAAAACGTGAACTGTGCGCCGTGCCGATGGCTATGACGTGAACTCTCAATCCGTCTGTGCACGTGGAATAGCAGAATCGACTTCGCTCACGCTATTTGGTGTAGCCTGGGTGTAGCACAATAGAAACCATGCCGCCCCGGCCTGCGCAGTGGCTTCTTCCGGTCCAGGCTGCTTGGCATCCTAAACACATGAGTCGGTCTGGAAACTCACAAAGCACAGCTGTGCAAGATTGCGCAGGTTCTCTAGGCCATACGTCTAGAAAGCTTCCCCCCACACTGGCCTCGGGGGCGAGTGCTTCATTGTTGCCATCTTGTGGAACGGGACGTTTCTGTTTTGCGTCTTTTCGGTGCCTCCAAAGCACGGAAACGGCGAACATGACAATGCAACTCAAAGGACACAAATGGACACAGTGGCTTCTGCGGACGAAAAGCCGCAGGCGATGACCTCTGGCATCGTATCTTGGAACCTTGGCACTTGGTTCTCAGGTGCTATCTATCCTTCGATACCAGTAGTGGCAGTTGAGCGCGATGATGCAAGAGATCATTGATAGAAACAGGTCAGCCACCTCCTACTGCATCCAAGACGCTGCAGTCTTCTTGGCTGGACTCTTGCCTTTGTTCGATTTCCTCGATCTCGCCAGCTCATTTTTCGGCAGCGCATCGGAAGTCTGCCTTAATGCATCTCAAGTCTCCACTCCACTTGGCTGCAGGATGCAATTTCAATGCCTGGCTCCGGACTGTAATCCGGCTGATCCATCAGGCCAGTCTAAAACCGTGCTCTGCAAGTCCTTGAAAGACGACAACATCTGCATAGTCTCTGAATGCTCGTGCAGAAGACTGCAGAAATCAGCACGATTGTGTCAGGCTGACAGGGATAGTGCTCGAAGCTCAGGCTTTCGGGCACGCAGCTTCAGGTCTGTGTCTTGATCTTCCGAGGACTTTCTAACATCGAGAGCTCTGAGTCAAGTTTCTGCGAACTTCGGCGGCTCAATCTGTGCACCGCTAGGCAAGCCTTCTGCTGAGACCGCAATGGTGACCTCAAGTGTCAGCTTCACGAAGCGATCACCCGCACAACTCTGGCTCAGCTTGCGGCCATCCCTGGGAGTAGCTCCCACCATCGCTTGGCGAGGAGTGGGAGCCAGCCACATCTTCCCGATCTCCGAGCCGGGAAGCTTTGGAGACAAGTCCATGAAGTCCACACCCTCTACTGGGGCTATGTGGCCTACATCCCCCGGTGGCTACACCCATACAGGTATGACCTGGTGTCGTGCGATCCTAGAAACTTCGTATCTTGACTAGAAGCATTCCGCAGACGAGTGCCCAACTGCAGGATTCGAAGCTGGCGTGAAGGTGCTGCCGTCTGCACTTGCAACAGCATGCAGTGATTGACCTCGCACATGTGCTGGCCAAAAAGCACAAGGACCCAAAAGAGTGCCAGGTGTGATGGACAGGCACTGCACACGCCCACCTGCCACACTGCCAAGGCTTGCCCGTAAAAGAAGGCGAAACTGTACCTCGGAAGCCATGTGCCGAAACACCTTGTTTCGAAATTGCTGCACGAAATTCTTGGCTTCCCTGCTGAATCATTTCAAAGATGGCCATGTCCTTGAAGAACAGCCACTCCAGGACCACTGACGGGACCACAACCTGGGAAGCTCCAGTACCTGCCTCCGGACGAGCCGAATCCCGAGACCACGAGCTAAGGAGCGTGCGGCAGTTGCCATGACAAACATCGTCCAAATTACGGAGTCGCTGGAAAGCTTGAGGATGTTGTGCATGGGAAGCCACGCCAGGGTGTAGGCCTGGGCAGCTGGGCCAGAGGAGTCCAGGGCCGACGGTGAGTAGCCACGGGATTCCCCGCAGCGTTGATTGAAGCATCTGCACTCTGTCCTGCTACTTACTCCGATGCTGGACCTGGGTGGCAGGCAGCCAGGCAAGTGAACCACCAACTGCACGGCAAATAAGGAAATACAGCCTCGCTGAACATACATCATCCGATGCTACGCCACAAAGAGACACTCAACTGACATCAACTGTGCCTCTCGATGTTCTTGGAAACTGCCGCTGATTAGGAAGACGTGTGCCTGTGCTGGGAAGGTGCCTAGAAGGAACCACTGTGCAAAAGCAACCCGAGCATCGGACCATGAAGCTGGTCCAGTCCCAAGCACTGTAGGAGAAGAAGGCGACGCACAGAAAGATCAATGTAATGACCTGGGCAGTCAGACTCGTGAGCACGGTGGCTTCGGATGGCAGGGAGCAGGGCCCCATTGTCTGAGAGCACGACGTAGGAAGGATACCACGCCATAATTCGACCCACCTTAGTGTTAGATGGCTCGTGACTGAAGTCCCACGTCCAAGTCCTGATCCTCTGAGTGGTGGTAGGAGAGGCTACGCGTCATTCAGCAGACTCTGAAGGGCACTTGCAGCACAGCCTTATTCCAGAACTGTCCAATTCACCTCATACTGACCTGCACCTAAGTTCCTAGCCGAATCTGCCCGAGCACAAATACGTGCTGGTACGTGCTCCTGCTCTCAGTTGCGCACCATTGCACTGAGCATGTCCTCCTCGAGCGCTGCCTATGCAGCAAAACAGGAATGGTTCACCCATGAGCGGACGGTTCGATGACTCTGGTCTTGCACCCTCCTGTACAAAGGTACAAAGGCAAGGTCACAAGTAGAAGTGAGAACATGAGTCTCAGTGAGCTTTGGCCTTCACGACAAAGGGACTGCAGCCTCAAAGTTTGCCAGCCGCCAATTTTTTTTGGTTGCGAGCCCACATGGCATGTCAAGCTGTGCAGTCGACCAGGCTGCCTCAGGCAGGGCAAGGCCCATGATTTTTCTGCTTGCCCTGCTCTCCCTGTACACTCGCCTCCTGACTTGTTCCGGTTTCGCTGGCAAGTGTTGCCAGGTGTACTTTTAGACCCTTGAAGCTGCGAAGGGCACATCGAGAAGTCAGAAGCCCAGGAAGAGCTTTCGGCTCTGGAGCGCAGGACTCAGGAAAGGGCAGTGTTGACAGAGTCACACTGGAAAATGGCCTGCTGTTGCTACTCGCATTGCTGCTTCGGCTCACCGGCACAGAACACATGCCAAGCAGGCAATGCTCACGCAAAATTCCACGAGGTCAACTGCTCAATGCTCACGGTCACCTGCGGCAACCACATGAAACGTGCGAGCGACATTCGGTTCCAAATTGGCGAAACTAAAAGTTTGGCCGACCGTGCAGCTACAACATCCGTTGTGCATAATCAGAGCTTCTGCGACAGAAATGTGCATGGACATTCGAGTCCGGCAAAGCATCCTAAGTAACCGACGGCGGCAAGAACGACATAGGACGACGAGACTTCAGGAGAACATCGGTGCTTCATATAAGTATGTCCAGGCAAACTTGACTACCCAGATTGCCGGCGAATACGAAAATGATACGATAATGATTATGTGTGTGTTCGTGGAAGTGCGCACGTAGAAAGTGAGGGCATCGGTGGGCATAACTAGTAGCTAGTACTCATCAATGCACACGCATACACCCACCCCTAGATGGCTGTTTCTTAGCCATCGGGCTGTCGATTTCGAAGGCTGCCTGATGTCGTACATCAGCCTGTGCAAACAAAAATGCACATTATTCAAGTACCAGGCTTCATGAGACTATGTACATGTATGTATATATATATATATATATATTATATTTATATTTATATGTTTATATGTATACATATATGTTTATTTATATATATATATATGTATATTTAGTCTATTGTATCTTGTCCTATATCTGTATATATGTGTATGTATGTAGGTAAGTATGTACGTATGTATGTATGTATGTATGTATGTATGTATGTATGTATGTATGTATGTATGCATTTATACGTATGTATATATATATATATATATGTGTCATACACACATACACACACATGTGTGTGTATACATTTATGTATATATATATATATATATATTCTCATATTTGTCTACATAGGGAAGGACTGCAGGGAAGCTCGGAACCCGGCCTCAGCCTCCGGCCTCGGGGCCAGGAAGGCCGGGTGGCTCCATGGCTTTTGTTGGCTCCTAGGAACTTCAGGCAATGAGAGAGTTCAGGGTTTATGGTTTGGCAATGTTCAGGGGTTGAAGCGTTAGGGATGTTTGGGGCCTCTGTTTAGGAGAGAGATTGGAGGGAGAATGTGGACATTTGGGCCAGGGGGGGCTGAGGCCATGGCTGTTCTGCCCGCCGACAATCGCAAGAAGAGGCCCGTGAGCCCCAGCACTGCTGGAGCAAGGCCAAGAGAGCTCAGACTTTGCCAAAGCTGGAAGAGCTTGCTGAGAAAGAGGAGGCTCTGGACTCCTGGGTTCACTTGCTGACATATAGACACCTCATGTGAAGCGGCGAAGCCCAACCGCATGCAGAGCGGCTGAAGTGAAAATTCCAGACGGCCATCCGCCGGGAAGCCAGGGACCCGCCCTGGAGCGCAGCACCTGCAAGCTTGCCGCAAAGCATTCCAGAGGTTGTAGTGTGGTCAAGTCAACTCTCTCTCCTCAAGGTTTCTGATACGAATACGAAAACTTCGGCCTGCTGCTGCACACTCTGCTAGGATTGCCACGCGGTTCACAGCTGTGCCCAGGGCAAAGTTAGCGGAGCGGATCATGTTCAAGCTCCGCCCGACGAACAATAGCCTGCGAAGCTATGAGGCATCCAGTTATGATCAGGCAGCCAGCACAAACTACCAGCCAAACCTCTCAGGCTTCTCTAGACGGATGGACGAGAGAACAATCAACCAACCCGAGCTGCACGTCACGAGCTGAGCACCCAACTCACGGGGGAAGGCGGCTGTATCTCCCAGAACCTTCTTCGCACGAGCCTTCAGCTTCTGCTGAGCTTCGGCCATTGCTTTCGCAGTGAGCTTCTTCGGGGCATGCGGCATCACATCAGCCTTCTTGTTGCCCCGCGAACCAAAAAGGGAGGCCATGGCGTCTAGTCTTTGGGCCCCCAAGCGCACCCGTCGGAACTGAGTCAATGAAGCAAAGAGCTCTGCAGCATCTTGATCAGCAATGCCCCACTTACTGCAGATTCGGACCGTGGATGCGGTGTCCCCCAAAGCAGCTGCCACCCAAAAGTCTGCGTAGTCACGGCCTTGGCTGTTCAGACGTGGCAGGAGCTTGCCGTTCCGACCGTTCCGACTGGTACAAACTTGTCCAAACTGGCCACAAGTCCAAGGCACGCAAAGCCGGGTTCAATTCGCAGTAGAGGCCATGATCTAGAAGGACCAGTTGCCATTTCTCAGAACTTTCTGCAGGAGCCAAGCGCACCAACAAGTTTCCGGGGTGGGGATCGCAGTGTACGTGGCCCGTGCTGAAGATCTGATATCCAAAGACCTCGTGCGTCGGAGAGCCCGAAACACAGAGCACGAGATCAGAATTCATCGGAAAAGGAACACAGTCAGTTGATGAAAACTTCCTGAAGCTAAGCTCCAAGGCTTCAGTTGCCGTCCGCATCACATCTACGGGCCTCAGCCCTGCTTTCTTCAAGGCATTGCTATCGCTGGCAGGGCCCAAGGAGTCCACCCACTCCATGACCAGTACGTGCTCTCCCGAAACCTTCCTTGGTTTGGAGATTCAAAGCACCCTCCCTGCATGCCACAATAAACTGATGCCGAGATGCCCCTGAACAGCTGGCACGATGACTTTTCCACGGAACTGACTGCACGCGTCCTTAATGCCAAAGACAGCTGGAATGAACATGAACCAGTCGCGTGCATTTTGAGTCGAGCATACTTTCAGGAAGGCATCTTTACAGTTGCGACAGGTCAGAAAATCCACCCTTCAACCTTCGCATCACCGTTTCGGGGCTCCTGGTTGCAAGCTGATGGCTTTAAGCTCAGGGGTTCGCTATAGTACAGCAGCAGGTGAAAACACCAGTGAGGGCCTGTGGCAATGACAGCCTTTCCTGTCAAGGTTACGCCGAGGCGGCCATCTTGCGGCGTTGCTGCTAAGCTAAGTCTGCACCCCAACTTACCTCTATGATTCTCCATGTGGGTAGTTCTCTAAATTCGGGTCCCTTTTAGGGTCCTTTTTATAAGGGTGCCGTACTATATCGGGGACCTAAAAATGGACCCTAATTTTGCATACTACCCATGTGGGGTCCAGCCAAGGGGCCAGCTCATCAGCTGCCTGGCGGGCATGTCGCGCCTGACCGCATCCGAGCAATGCACATCTGCCATGCATCTGCTTTGCCGTGGAACCACTCCCCCAAAAGCAACTGGCCTTGGTGGCCTACCAAAGTCAACAGAACGAGGCTTGTCAATCCCAGCAAGCTTCTGAGCTCTTGATGCCCTGTATGCATCTGGGAAAGCCGTAACGGCTTATAACGACCAATTGCCACTTTGATTTTCCAGAAGCTTCTAACTTAACTTGAGGCGTTCGTTCGCTCCTCCTGAGCTGGCGCTGTTCCCCAAAGCTGTCTGTTGCAAACCCAGGCCGCACTTTCCCAGGCTTTCTGCAGGTCGGCGTGGGTCACCCCACGGCATCTGTTATAGCATCAGTCACGCAAGGCATGAAGACCGAACTATGGACCGAAACCGGACAAACTTACTGCCGCATGGTTCGGGCAATGGCGTACAACTGCATCTGCCGCCGACATATACTATGCGCCATATTATGTTCTCACTGTCACCTGGAAACGCCACACTCGTTTCCTGTGAGTTTGTGATTACTGGCCCACGGCCTCTATACGGAAGTCGAGCTCTGCTTCCAATTGCTGGCGCGTGTAGCCATATGTCCAAACCTTAGGATCGCAGGGGATGGCAAGTCCAAAACATCGCAGAGCTGTTGGCATTGGCGTGGATGTCGGCTTGAAGTTAGATTTGAGACATCCCTGGGAGCCCATTCTGGTGTGCAATGTTAAGACATGTTAAGACCAGGACCATCGGCAAATCGAAGGCATACTCCAAGACGATCAGCACGAGCTTATACACCGCAAGGTCACATCTATTCTGGGCCGGGATGTTCGGCTTCCTTGGTGTCTGTTGCACGGGAACCTTGAGCTCTGTGCAAGTTGGAAGACGACACCTACGAAGCACCACTTCCAATGCGCTGAGCGTCTGGATTTTGACTGCCACAGCCAAGGGTTCGTTGCCTTCATTCCCCTCTGCAAACTCTGGCCGCAGTTGTGCACGGTGCACTTGCGCAATGCTGGCAGAAGCAATGGGAGTCTCCTCGAATTCCGAGAACACCTCGCTCAAGCTTTGGCCCAGCTGCGACTCAACAACTCTCCGGACTTCTTTGAACTCAAAAGTCGCGGCTTGGTCATGCAAAGTCTTTAGCTCGGATTTGTATTCCTCCGGCAGAATGACGTCCTGAGCAGGAAGATATGTTTCGCATGGCATTGTTGTCGAATCCCTGTTCGAGAGTCCATGTGATTGAAAGCTGGGCGGGCAACTCAGGCACTGTCCATAGTCGACATTGCCTGGCCAAACTTGACGTACAGGCCCTCGTTGCGGCGCAGGCATTCCACTAGGCGTTTGGCAACCTTGGCATGTATGTCGTTGGAAGTCTCAGGTGTCCAGCAGACCTTGTACCTCGGTGGGGGCGTGCGCAGTTGGAACATCCAATCAGTTGCGTTAGAGGCGAGAGCTGTCAGAGGCAAAACCGTGGTACAGAAAAAGGCCCAAAAATCTCTCGCTAGAATCTAGAACCCGAAGCATCCCAAAGCATCATGCCATGGTGCTGCCACAGCAAATACACACCTGTCTGCACTGTTCGTGCAGTTCGCTGGCCCACTTGGTGGAGGCAGAACTCCTTAGCGCACTTCCCGTGGATATTCAGAACTGAGCAGCCGCAACCCATGTCTCCGAATCGCTTTTGTCCCCGGACCATGACCATGATACCCTCCCACGGTTGCATTTTTTTGATCTGCATGTGTTCACTCGTTTTCGCCTGCATTTAACAAAGATCGAGTGCGCTATGTGTAAGGCTCTAGCCAATAGTATCGAACTTTCTCATGATGACAACTGGGCGTCGTCAGTGGCCCACGCAGCCCCCAACAAGCCTGTCGCAGGCAGCGCGTAGCGGCGGACGGTGCGAAGAGCAGCCGCCATCACAGGAAAGTGGAATGTTTATTTGTTGGGCTGCTGTCTTTCCAAGATATCAGTACAAGCAAAGCAGCTTTGCTGCTGTGTTGCGTCGCAGCTTGTACAGTGAGCAAAGCATGCATGCTGCATATTGCTGCGCGCAAGATATACATTCTACATGCTGCTCGGGAAACTGCAAGGTTTTCTCCACATTGGCAACAAAGACTGCGCAGATGCCATCAGCAAGCGCAACCAGACGCTGCTCCGACCAATCGGGCAAGCCGAGGGTATGAACTTGGACTCGGGGCATTTCTTTTCCCCCCGAGAAGAGCTTCGGAGCTTCTAGAAGTTGAGAGACAAAGATACATATGTATATGTCTACATGTATATACACATACATATACATACACATAAACACACATACGTGCATACGTACATGCATACATACATACGCACATACCCACGCAATAAGAGCTTTAGAAATTAACAAAAAAGGGGCCCGCCCCCTCTGCCTTTGGCCCCGTCAGCTTGGAGTAACTTTGGCAGAAGCCGCTGAGGGTGAAGAACCTCGCAATGCAGACGCAGTAAGCTTCGGCGGATGAAGGCAGAAGCAAAGGTTGCGGCATCGGAGCGGCAAGAAGACCCCAGCTTGAAAGCGTTGAGAGGGTATCCTGGCCAGCAGCGTGTCGGGCATGCGTGAAGTTTGTAGTCCCTCGAAAAACTAGATCTTACTTCGAGCACCACAACTGCCGCAGCGCCGCGGCAATGCAAGTGAGCCCATGTCCCAAGACCGTGTGTGTTCGAGACGGCATCAGCTGAACACCAGCACTTTACGTAGATCCTGTACATGCTCCTAGTGTCTGAGGCTGAGGCTGCATGACGGCCTCGGCAGCATAAGGATTGTATCAAACAAGGAGCCTTCTTTCATATATTCTGCCCAGAATTGCCCAGATTTCTGCCTTGCTCGTACGTCTAAATCGCGTCATCTGCCCGAAGCTGCTTTTAACCATGGCCCGCGGCTCTGCTCTCTAGTCGAAACAGAAATAGGCCGCGCAGTGCATACCGCGCTGCCTTTGTCATGCAGTAAAAAAACAATATCCTAGGTAGCCGCAGTGCCCGGATCCTACGGGCATGGGCCATGGCCCTTTCTCGAGCTTGGTGCTTTTAGTTCATTTGGCGTTGCCACGGCACGTATAGCACTATGAGCGGCACAAATCAACTAAGGCACTGCAGCTGTGTGGGTGTGCTGTCTACCATTTTCTACCCCTTGAACTCTGGCCTCGAGGGCCGAGATCTAGCTCAATCCATGGATGCTGGAAACTTCTGCCTTCATAGGAGAGCAGGGATTGAAATCTTTACACATCCAAATTGAGCTGTGCATCAGTCGGGAACGATGTGACGTGAGGCGGGATGCATGCCTGCACGCCCTGTACGTCAAGTGGACGTTTACACGTCCTGCCAATCATGGCAACATTGAAAGTGAAATTGCTGTTTAAGCCCCGGGACATATTTTCCAGCCTTTGGCCACTCCACGAACATCCGAGACCCACATTATGTCTGTGAAGGGCGTGATTCCAGCTGGGCTTTCATGGCCAGAGAAAGATCTGCAATTCAAAAGCATTTGATCAAATCCTGGCTCAGTTGCGAACTCTTCGACTCGAATGGGAACTGCCGAAGAAGCATTAACTCGAATGAAGCAGTAAGAATTGATGGAGTAGTTGCTTGGGAAACCTGGGCTGGTGATGCACCTTGAGGCATCCATAGTGCATGGCCCAGACGTGATCGTCCACATGCCGCCATGGAAGTCAACCGGATCTGCTAGAGCCGAATTTTTACCCGCCATGGTGTCGTGGATCCAGCTCAAGGCTTCCGTGACACGGCTGTAAACTCCAGGAAATTTCTCGGAAGCACAGCCCAAACCCCAGGAAGTAATGCCACGAACCACATAGCGATCATCTTCCTTGCAAACAAGCGGTCCACCACTGTCCCCGTAGCACGCATCCGTTATGCCGGTGTCTGACTTTCCCGAAGCACACAGCATGGCAGCAGTGATGGTGGCGTTGTGTGCTGCATAGTCCTTGACACAGTCTTGCTGGGACAGCGTGGACACGGAGCCTTCCTGCAGCGTGCTAGGCGCATCCCCTGCATCTTTGGATGCACCCCAGCCGGTAATGCTGCACTGCTGTGCCCAACGAGTTTGGTCACCATGACTGCTGTCTGCCTCAGGCAAGCAAGCTATGCCAATGCATTCGTTCATGGGCAACTGCTCGTCCAGCTCGACCAGTGCAAAGTCATAATCCGAAGGAGCGGCATGACCATACCTTCAGGGATTCTGCAAAGCTTCTGAAATCTATTGAATCATTGAAAGCAGAGGATTGATGCACTAGACCGATGATGATTTCGATCTGTGACAGTGGCAGCAGCTTTCCGATGCAAACGTCCAGCCTCGGGTGCTTGTGCACGCGCACTACACCACGCTCAGCGGAGGTTACCTCTCGCAGCCTGGATTCTGAGTTGTGCTTCCAAGCTCCAGCAATGACCCTGACAAATCGCAGGTCGCACTGAGAGAAGGAGCCCACGCAGTGTGCAGCTGTCAACACCCACTTGCCATCGATCAGAGTCCCTCCACAGAAGTGGCTGGACTTAGTCGTGTTTTTGCGCACATCGTGCAAACTGACCTGCCATCTCCAAGTGCATTTTGCAGCGCTTTTACCGTGCATGATGCGGCTACCATCATCCTGCGAATGTCCCAGTACGCCACACTGGCTCAAGTCTGGTTTTTGGGTCGCCCTCCTTTGAATTGCCCCTCGCAGCTGCGCATCCGGCGTTGGGCTTGCGCTGGACAGACCTGAGCCATGGGCATGCAAAGCGCTGCTCTTCTCGTCTGTGATGTGCGAGTGTCGAAAGGGTCTGGTCAGATTCTGCGCGCTCTCAAGCCAAGGCCACGGCAAAGGGCGAGGCACAGGGCAGCAGGGCGCATCCACTCAGAAGGCCATGCCATGCTTTGCTCGGCACAGAAACATGTGTAAACTAAAGGTTTAAGAGCTCTTGGGGCCCCTTTTCTTTGAGCCAAAAGCCGGCATCGGCTGTCTCCTCCGGTGCTGCCTGGAAGACAGAAGATGTCATGGCATGCGCTTTTTTCTTGAAGTCATGTCTGGCCGACCTCCATTTCGCTTGGTCCCGCTGAGGCCAACACTCTTCACTTCCTGGGTTGACCATGGGTAGAAGTTGTACAGCAAAACCATGCCAGACCTCCGAGATGCCAAGCTTGTAAGATCATGAAGCTAGGAAGATCTAAACAAACGGCTTCAATTACGCAGCAAAACTTCAGCATATGATTGCACTGCTACAGTTGCAGCTGCTCACGGATGCGGTTCGGTCACGGATTTCAAACTTGTGCATTTCCACCGGTGCTGGTGTGGCTGTTCCGAAATCGCTACAACCAGTCCGAGATTCCAAGCACTTCCGCGATGACGTCACAAAACATGTGTCCGGTGCCACATTGGGGGTTTCCGAAAATAGGGGACCCTAATATACCCTAAATAGTAGGATCCCTATTATAAGGACCCCAAAGTAAGGTACCCCTAATTTTCTGAAACTCCCACGTTGACAAAGCCCCAGGCAGCACGAAGCGCAGCACTCCAAGAGCTGGGAAATGATGGTACTGGTCCTGCGAAGCACACCGAAGTGTATGACGCAGCCAGGGATTTACGAGGACGGCTCGAACTTCCTGGTCTTGCTCCGTCCTTGGTACCTTTCCACCAATTTGGAAGACGCGCAAAGTCGAAAACGAAGGTGAGAAACATCTGGGCGGCCGGCCCCAACATTTGGATCTTTCTCTCCACGCAGCGTTAGGAGATGTTCTACGCCTCAGAAGCGGTTGTCACTTTGTCGTGCAAAAACCTGGGATGGGATGAAGGAGCAAGCGGACGTTCCCGGACCCGAATTCGTGATTCATCCGTTTGAGGTAACCCGGGTGACAGTTAGCCGTACAAGAGCAGGGCTCGCCCGCAATTATTCCCATCCCAATTAAAAAATGGCGAATCAGCCTGGTACTGATACGTCTATTCTTGCCATGAAGCTGAACCGCACACAAGTAGTTGCGGCGGAGCTGCCCCAGCACGCGCCGACGGCCACGAAGAGCATCAGAACGCAAGCGGCGCTGGCGGTTGTTAAAGGATTCGATTTTTCCCGAGTCTGCTTTTTCCAAGCTTTTCAGAAAACGAACCTTACATTGGAAGGCTCCAGCCTCTTCGCTGTTTACTACTCTGCATGAACAGCAGGTATCCACACGCACTGCGGCCTCGAGTGCCTCAATACACTCATGTTCGGGTGCTCTCTTTACTTTGGCCTCCAAGCTGCACTTCGGAAGGATCGATTCGCCTGAAGCCGCACGGCTGATTAGTTTGTTTGTGCTTCTTCTACTGGGCATAGAGGAGGTGGACACCCTGTTTTCCTCTACTATCTTCTAGTGGGCCTGGGGGAGTCAGCGGGCTCTTGGTAGGGAGTGGAGTTACACGACAGGCAAAATGAATGCATTGGACAGGGTAGATGTTTGAGCTGCGGGCGGCTATCTCTAGAAGTGGAACCAACAGCTGAAAATTCATCGACGAAAAGCCTTACCGAGATGCCATGCATCGATTCCCCGTCGCATTTTACCTAAACGAACTATCTGGCCAGTTGGCAACTGAAGTCTGGCTTCAATGGCGCGCGTACTGTCTTTTGCATCTGCGCATGCAGATAGTATTTTGCTTCATCTACTGATCTCGTTGCATGAGAGTTGTGAACATAGGACCGCTGACACAATTAGCGGGCACAATACCTACGAGTACAGTAAGATAAAACTGGTGGGATCTGTCCGGATACATTTCAGGAACTCCGACTTGGCTCCGGAGCCTCAGCCGCTTTCTGCCTTGCCTGAGCCAGGCATCCCTCACCGCATGTTTGTGGGTTACACATTCAGATTCAAAGCTCCTGTCTTCCTGGACGTCAAGACTTACAGACTGAACTGATGCAAAGTGAAACCAGTCACGAAGGGAGTCTTTTTTTGACAACAGCGGCAGAAAGCTTTGCGGAGCCTCTACGATGCTCTCATCGACCGCCTGTATTGCCTGGCAGCGGCAAAACACGGGAGCAACGTCATCGAAAGAACTCCGTAGCATGCGCCCGAGCAAGGTCAGTGCGTCTCGATGGCAGTCTCGTGTCGCAAAATTTGTGGCTGCACCTTTCCCAACCCCTACTGTACAAACTGCCTTCAAACTACTGTAGTGTTTTCTTCCAGCATCTGGATTGCAACATCCCGAAGCGATTGAATCTCCATCTGAGCCTGCATGCATGTCTGTGTGTGCTTGCGTCTGTCTGCGTGTGTTTGTTTCTCTGTGCGTGTGTGTGTGTGTGCCTGTGTGTGTCTTTTCCCGGCTGGCTGGCTAGCCGTGTTGGTGGGCTCTAGTTCGTGCACTCTGCATATATATATATATACACATATGCATATGTACACAGAAATATATACACATAAACGAAATTGTAGTCGTTTTTCATAAACGTAAAGCAATGTGAATTAACAAATAAACAAACACACACACACACACACGTGTAGATATGTGTGTATATATATATATATATATGGATGCCGTTCTAAAGCCCCGCCTCCTGTAGGAAGAGTAGGGTAGGCGTTAGGGTTTTGAACGGTGGTCAAAAATAGTTAAAAACCCGTGCGCGCGCAAGCTCGCGCACTGGCGCGCCCAAGATACATAACATAACCACATATGTACAGCTTTGTATTCATATGTATGGCTTCGTATTGGAGTTTACCAGGTGTTTCACTCCCTTATCCCGGTAAAGCTGGACCAAGGAGGTTATGAAAATAATTTATGTCTAGTCTAGCCTCAAGCGTCAAGCACTAACTAAGTCGAAATGCATGACAATTTACCTTTGTAGCTTGGGGCATGTGCAATTGTTTGTAAAGGGGTTATGTTGACACGAGTGAGAACCCCTGCGCGCGCAAGACAGCGCAGGGCGGGCGCAAGCACTGTCCTAATGCCTGGGCCTGGCTCCTTTAATTTAGACCAGCATCCAAATACATATATATATATATATACATATGCACGAACGTCGTTTGAAAAGCCAGACTTACACGCACCGGGGCATCGACTCCACTCACGTCTCCTCTTTTCAGCTTCGCTCCTCCAAGCAATATGGCCTGCCATGCAGGTTGCACACGGACGATGATGCTCGCACAGCCACAGGCACACGTGGAATCTGCATCATGAAGCCAGCGTCTCAGCATGGGCAACTCTGGCAGCGGCGGCTGCAGCAGAAGCAACTGCGAAACAGAGTGGAACTAGAACGCTACCACCAGCACCAGCAACAACCTCATCATGTACCAACAAAGAACACTACCAGTCACGAACAACAAATCAAATGCTAGCAAGATAAGAAACAGGGCAACAACACACAACACCAAATACTGACCAACGAGCGCCAACAAATAAAATTAATCAACAACACACATCGAGAAATAACAACATCATCAACAGCAGCACTAACATCAACATCCACCTCACCAACGACACCAACACCAGCATCACCAACTGCAGCACAAACAGTGGCTGCACGATGCAAACGACATCAACACCAACACTGACGGAACCAGCTACAACCTGGCTACAACATCAACCAACGTCAGTTACAACAACAACCTGCTGCTCCTGCGCTTTCATTACGACACGACGACGACGACCACCACCACCACCACCACCACCACCACCACAATTACGTCTACCACGAATGACATGTTACAACCGTGACCATAACACCAGCAACCACTGACACTGGTGAGGCTGGAACCTGTGAAACTGCACCGCCGACAATGTGCGCATTTACTCGAATGAGCTTGGCCGCATCATCGACTGCACCTGCATTCTCCTGAACCTGCCAAAAGGAGCAGCTGCGTCACCGAAGAAGGAATGTTTGCACAGGCACCACAAAGCGGGACTGAGGCGGGGACAAGATTGTTGAATTCCTGGAAGGCTGCAACTTCGTCCAAGATATCTGAACATGATGCAAGAGTGCTTATTATTATGCTTCAACCCTGCATGATAAACACCCAAAATTTCATTCAACGGCATTCCAGAGGCAAAGGGGAAGAGTTTGCACTCACCAACACGGTGACACCAACCCCATGTCCCATTCTTCACCTGTGCCGTCTGGCTCCCCTAAACCCGTTCTTGGGAGTTCTCTGCTTTCGAGATCCGAATGACCAGGTGCAGCTGAGGCTCAGCCATCAACGTCCCATTTGTATGGTTGAGGTTCACTAGGAGCTGTTGCAACACGGCACCTGGTGGTGAAATGAATCTGTGATTTAAGCTTCAATTCGCAATGCTTCCATGAAGTAACGCGACGTCAAGTGCACCTGTGCCAGTCCTGTTGGGTGCCGGCGGTTGCTCGTTCGAAATTTGTTTCCTCGCCAAGTCTGCACTAAACTGGTGCAAGGGCAGGGAGCCTAACGTGGCACAACTGCTCTATTGCGTTTCTTGTCAGCAGTTTTGTATGCATGCTCCTGATGTCCAAGCTGTCAGGCCGCAGTGGCAGAGCCCCGACACACACAAACGGCGTTAGCACCGCGACGGCCCAGCAGTCTGTGAGAAACTGCCGCATTCATCGCAGGGCGCCTGAAACCAAGCAGGCATCACGGTCGCGGAAAACAACTCTCTTGCAAGAACTTCCGCTGAGACGGCAGCCCGAAGCGCCACAGGAACTATATGTATACCGGTACCGAATATTGAGCTGACGAGCCCATGGGTTGCGACGCAGCATCAGACAATATGGAAATGACATGAAGCGGGTCTAATCTACGAGTTCGGATTCTGCGCCCAGGTGTCATCGACTCCGTCACCAGTTTGGTCGCAGTGTGTCCGAACATGAGGTGAGCGGCAACCGGCTGGGCTCGGCATGCACATGACTGCGAATCGCCCGCGCGGCGGCGCCCCTCGCGGTCGACAGAATCAACGACTTTTCTTTTGTTTCCACCGCGCCTTCTCTCTTCGTCAACAACCGGGCCCAACAAGATTCAAACTTTCTAGGAGAGACCAAATATCTACGATCAAAATCTGGCTGTCCAAGCCTTTTTAATTTTTTTGAACCCGCTTTCCGCCTGTATGACTCAAGCGTCCAAAACTGTCCCGCACCACAACACCTACAACTACAAGCTACCCGGCAACCTGGAGTGTACGCTGCAGAAGTGCAGCTAGCTAGCGTTCAGGAGTTGGCGGTCGAGGTATTTAGCGGTGCACAAACAGCAGGGATGGGTCGGCGCGATCCATCGCGGGCTGCCGTCGGCGAGGACCTCATGCAGGTCAGGCATGCGCCCTCCGGCGAGGAAGAGCAGGACCTTGACCTCGTCCAAGAATTCTAGGACCTATGGGCGAGTGCAGTGCAGCCCACTGCTCGGACGAGGGAAGGCGCATTTCATGGCGGGCCCATGCTGCCTTTGCAAGGACCGGGGCTCGGTGCGCGCATGCGCTTGGAAGCGGTCTGCAGGTCTGCAAGACCGCTCTATTGCCCGCGTCTGCGCTAGGATCAGAGGCACAGCGCAGCATAACCCCGCATCCCTTATGTTTTCGGTGGGGGGGAGGCTGATACATGGCTAAGCCATTTATTGACATACCCCCCATGATGTTTTGATGGATCTCCCAGAATCCTGGCCTCTCCTCCGACCCCCACCCATACTGGAAAAACTCGCAGAAAGTCACAGACACACACACACACAGACTATCTCCCTCTCTCTTTCTCTCACAGGGTTTAAGGTCCAGGGTTTAGAGTTCAGGGTTCAGGGTTTAAGGTCCAGGGTTTAGGGTTCAGGGCTCAGGGTTTAAGGTCCAGGTTTTTTTTTAAAGCTCCTTTTTCCGCCTAGGGACACCAGCCGTCGACGAAAGACCAATTGGTCAGGAGAATCTAGCTCCTTTTGCGCACCTCCGCTTGCCAGGAGGAAAAACGAAGCAAAAAGCCAGACCCCAGCCATCACAGGCTGAGCCATGCAGATTGCAAGCGGACAGGAGTGGAAGATTCTCGACATCTCCATGCCCTGCAGGAGAAGACGCACCTTACAGTCACAAGGGTCACCCATGTTAGATGACCACGGCTCATACTTGTTCCCTCCCTTACTCTTGGCTTAGTCATGCGGCAGTGATCCACCATTCGCTTCCCAGCCCGTGCTCTTCCGCAGACCAGTCAGCACCATCCAGTCAACAAATACTCAACTGCAGGCACTCTCCATCGTGACGCACACGAACACTCGTCTCAGCAGTCCTGCCCAAGTGACCTCGCAGCCCTGCTCCTGGAATCCAGACGTGCATCAAAGGACTCGGATATTCCCATGATCTCCAACGATGTCGCCAGTCATCCCTGGGAAGATGTCCGTATTTGCACTGATAGCTCGGCCAGCTGCTGGTACTGTATCCCCATGGTGCCCCTGCCAACCACTCAACCACGTCCCCATTTGTGGTTTCTAGCGAAACGGTTCCATGATCGCCTGTACTTTGGCTTCCACCCCAGATCAGCAGTCTCACTGATGTCAGTGCGGCCAGTTTCCAGAGGAGTAATACAACCATCAGCACGGCTTTTGGCCCATGAACCATGACACTCAGGAGCTTCTTCGCTCAGGCTGTTTTGCGACCCAGTCTCAAAACCCTCGATACCAAGCAACCCAAGGTCATCCTGAACTTCAAAGCCCTCATGCTTGGCCTTCGCCCCGGTACGTCGTCTTGCTCGCTTCTTTTGGGCATTTCCACACGCAGGAGTCACAGTCACCAACGCTGCAGATGTTGTTTCTGATCCAGATCTTTCGGCCAACTGTTGCAGCGCATTCCTGACGTTTCCACTCCCAGAAGTCTCAGTCTGAATCACCTTTGTTGCCGTTGCAGCAACAGCCCTATGCCGTGCGCCCATCAGTTGTTGTAGCTGGCTTTCCAAATAGCGGCATCGCTCCGACAGCTGCTGCACAAAAGTATTCTGTGCCGCTACTTTGTCCCGCAGCTGCTCGAAATGCTCAATCCATTCCCCTTGCAACTTTCCCAGGTTCTGCTCGCTCAAAGTCCGAATAAGGTCAGCTTGCTCGCCCAGCATTGCACGGAGCACACTCAAACCCAAAGCCAGTCCCGGCGGCGACTCATATTCCGGTTCCATCCGTAAGGCGGTGCGGGGAGGAGGCCCGACGGGTAACCTCGAACTTGTTAGGGTTCAGGGCTCAAGGTTTAAGGTCTAAGGTCCAGGGTTCAGGGTCTAAGGTCCAGGGTTTAGGGTTCAGGGCTCAGGGTTTAGTTTTCCCTAGACATTTGCCACTTGGAGCCTAAGCCACAAAACTGCAAATAATTAACGGCGTCTTCCTCTGCTGCGGCTGTGACTTCTGTCAGCCTCGGGATGCGGCCACCGGCCAAGCTCTGGAGGCGTCCTCGGCGATGCCACTTCCTGCAGAAGAAGCCGCATCACAAAAGGAGGACAGGCAACACTCGCAAACACGCCAGAGCTGCCAAGGGTGGTGTTCTCGGACCCGGCAATGGAGGCATCCGCGGTGATGGCGGCTCCTGCACAAGAAGCCCCATTGCAAAAGGATCCAAGACACAGGCAACACTCACAAACACGCCAAAGCTGCCCAGGGTGGTGTTCTCGGACCGGGCAATGCTGGCCACGGTCGGCCCTGCGCTACACCACCGAACTGCTACTGTACCCAGTGCCATTCACGAGCCAACCCACCTGGAAGGCTTCCTGTGGAGTCACCGGAGCTGGCCTTCCCCCTGGAACCTCGGACAAACCGAGCTTGGAAATGCTCTTCTGCACCTTCATGAAACCTCCGCCTTGAAGACCAGCACCGCGAAGCTGTAGCATGATGCTGTCTTGCAAATTGATTCCTTTATAGGCAAGGGTATTTCCTTTCAATGTTGCTCTCCCGTTCTCAGGTGTGTTTCCTGATAGTACAAGGAGTAACTCTTCCAAGACTTCTTGGTGAAGTTGAAGAAACGACAGGCGTCGTCACGCACTGTGGAGATTGTGGTGATGCTTCCTTCATAGGTGTGGCAGTAATTCGTGGTCTTGCCGACGGTGGAGACATTCACAATGATGATGTTCATGTCCTTCGGCTTTGCTTTTCTTTCGCCTCGTTTAGGCGGTTCCTCTCGGCAATCTGTCGCTTAATCACCACCTTCATCTGGCCACGGACAACCTTGTAGGTGTTGATTGCCTTGTAGACGTCCTCAACACAGCCACGCTCAAGGCTTTTAAGGCTCTCCATGCTCTTGTTCTTCAGGTCGAAGGTCTGGTCAGCCCTCACGGTGTCCATGTTCTGGATGATGTCAGGCATCTCCACCGTCACTTTCTTCGTTGTTTTTTTCGAACATCCGTTGACGCCCCAGCGGGTCATCGGCGTCGTCACTGTCCTCACTCTCTTCGTGCTCCTGCTCACTCTCTTCGGAGTGAGTCTTGTCGTTCATCTCCTCACCCTCAGCTTCGGGCTGAAAGACGGTCTCCTCACCCTCAGCTTCGGTAGGGTAAGCCTTGCTAGAGGAAGGCATCACTTCAAGAACAGAAAGGTCGGATGCTTCAAGACTTGAACACAGAAGTTGCTTCAGTGACAACCCAGGTTATGCTCATGCTTCGGATTTGCAACTGCATCTCTCAAGCGTTCAGATACACAACCTGCACTGGCAATCGCTCGCATAGCAAGCGAGTAGGGCAGACCTTTATGGCGTCCATGATGATGTTGTTGTAGATATTTGTAGATAGTGTGGCTGTTGAAGAGACAGAAACGGAACAAGCACCCAAAACAAAACGCGATGAAAAGGAAGAGTAGGGAGAGGAGAAATGAATAAGGGGCTATACATCCTTTTAGATATTAGGGTGTGGGATAAAACGTGTAAGGGGCAAAGGTAGAGAGAGGACAGAGAGAAAACGAAGGAGGGGGTGATGATGATAAAACGAGTGAGGTGGACAGGTGATAAATGTTAACCCTAGAAATGATAATTCAAGAATGAGAGAGGTGGAACAGTAGAGGAAAAGTTAGGATGCAGTGATAGAAAACAACAAATGAAGAAGACGCGCAACCGAAAACAATGCAAACCCTTGAAACCCCTATTAACTATTTTTCCGGGGAAAGGGCGGCGTAGGGGCCGGCGGCCGGGCAGGTGGGTGCGCCAGGCAGGAGAGCGGCTGCGGGAGGTGCTGCCGGCTGCTTCGACGTCTGCCACACGAACGACAAGGAGGCCTCGGCGGGGGTCGTGGCCTCCTTCCAGGTTGACGTCGCCGAGGAGGAGACGCACAGCTTCCATCAGCAAGCGTACCCCGCCCGAAGCTACACAAGCCGCAGAGAAGTCTAGAGTCTAGAGCCGGTCTTGAGCCAAGCAAGTGCTTGAGCCAAAAATGAATTTGAATTATGTAAATGGCACCGGATTTAAATCATCTAAACTATTTAACTGGGGCCGGGAATTAGACCATGATGAATAATCTAAATAATTTCCCCCGGGACCCGCTCCTCAGGATTTACATTGTTTAATTAAGGCCGGGAATTAAATAATTCAAATAATTTAAATAAATTAAACAATTGAAACCTTTGGGGAGGGGGCTCCAATAGTTTAAATCCGGAGGGGCCCTCCATATTTAAATTATTT